ATTTCAACAAATACTTCTTTCATAAAATAGTTTGTGAATTTCTGAGATTTCAACAAATACTCCTTTCTTTTACAGAGTATGTCTTTACTAGCTCCTCCTGCTTACTTCAATTCGTACCCTTTTGGTCTAATCCTCTGCTTTAGTTCCTGACTACTTCCTTCCATAGTGGTGTCCATGCTTATTGTTTTGGTGTAACTATTAACTCTTGGGCTGCCACTGTAAGAGATTATTTGGATGTTTTGATTGCAACCCATGTTTGTTTGATGTGTACTATTTGGACTCTATATATGATAATAATCTTATTGTATGGGTTTAATCGGTTCAATGCAGGTACTGTCATGTCACATATATGAGTGATATGATGTTTTAATTAGCACCCATGTTTACTTGATGTGCACCATTTGGACTCTATGATGGTAATTGAGGACAAACAATTAAATGATCTTCTGATTCCTGATACAGCTTGCCAGTTTTATGGGTTCTTCCAAATTTAGTCACCACATTATTATCCGGTGTCTCATTATGGCCTTATGGGATTCTTGTTGGTGTTATTGCAAAAATTTCCTTAGATGATAATGTTACAAGATCTTCATAGTCTGTATTCATTCTCTTAGGCTTTGTGTATATGCAGGTCAAATTTAGATATCTGAATTTGAACTTAATTGACGAACTCAATTGACCAACTCAATTTGGAGCACAGGGGGAATTGATGGGTGTTGATGAGATCTTGGTTTAAGTAGCATGCGTTTTCGTAGAAGTGAAGTGAGCAGCTAAATGATGCGAAGCATCTGAATGGCTTCCCTATATGGATGTAAAGAACCATCTCTCGTTAGAAGTGTGAAAACCTGCAACTCTGCTTGTTTTTAGGTTTGTTCTTCATGTAAAGTGGAACATGAAATGTTGCATCCCAACAAGGACTTCTTTTATCCTTTAGGCTACTCGTAAATGTATATTAAAAAATGAGCTTGGTTGTACACTGTCATATATTGTGTAATGATATTTGTAATTCTAAACTTGGATATGAAACATCAAATTTAAATGTCTATATTGTGTGTTGTTTTTCCCTTTTGTTTCTCTTTGTTTTTCCCTTTTGTTTCTCCTTGTTTTATTGTGTTGTTTTTTGTTGCATCCTGATGCTTTTTGTTTTTTTGTTAATAGTTGATACTAATTAATAATGCCTGATTTTAATTATTATCTTATTTTTGTATTTATTTTTCTAGTTATTTTTCTTACTTTGGTACAAAAACACTCTATATGTCTGTGTTTACTAATAAAATTACAAATAATCATAAGAAACAAAAATAAACAATAATAAACATAATCAAACAATAAGAAACAAAATATGAAAATTCATAAACAAAAAGAAACAAAAAATAACCATATAAAAATAGTGCAACAAAATTTGACATAAAAACAACAACGATAATAGTAATAATAATTTTAAAAATAAACTATATTATATTACGTGGTATTTTACATACTATTTTTTTCTAAAGTCTTCGAGTTTTTTTCCGTATTAATGCTAATTAATTAAGTATTTACGAAAATAGGGTCGGGTTAAAAGTATTTACGGATATACTGCTGGGCTTAACCCTGGTCGGGGAAAGTCGCCAAACCGTTTGGCGACTTATAAGTCGCCCAACCGGATGGCGACTTATAAGTCGCCCAACGGTTTGGCGACTTACCCATAAATTAAAAAACCGGGTTAAACTTAAAAAAAAAAAAAAAGAGGGGCAAAATTGTCTTTTGAAACCCGTTGAATTTTACGACTATCGTGTCCGCAGGTCGCCCGCGCAGGGGGGGTGCGAATTTTCGATTCTGAACTGAAAGCCGGAATTCTTGTGTGCGCGAGAGCTCCCCTATTCTCCTTCACCTTTTAATTCTAAGAGATGAGTGGTTCATATTTATAGGCTTCAAACTTCTCAAGGAGTTTAGGTGTGGGAAAGTTAAAGAAGCTCACTTTCCACCTTTGCTTAAAAGTGTACACTTTTCCATCTTTCTCTTTCAAGAGCAAATTTGAGCCACTTTAAACTTCAAAATCCAAAACTCCAACACCAAAGGTTAACACTACAATCAAAGCTTCCAAGAGTCAACATTGAGATTTAAAAAAAAATCAAGGTTAAGACTATTTTTCTCAAACACTACAATCAGTTGCGACACTTATTTTCTCATTGCTAACGTACAACTTTGATGACTAATATATTCACCAGTATATATAACAATGCAACTTCCATTATTATTCCCTTTTTAGTTTGGCTCATAACTTTGTATTCCCAGGAAAGAATATTACTCGTATATATATTTTCCTTATATATTGTAGACCTATATTGATCTGGCCAAATTATACGCCGTAGTATATTAGAAGAGATTCTCAAACTGGTTTCCTGATATATTTATTTCCTGATTAGAAAACAATCTTTATATGTTGTTGACAAAAATTAAGGATAGTAGTGTTCAAAATACGTGGGTATGTGATCACGGCTATATGGGCCGGTCCTGTCTATTGTCGGGCCCATGGACGAGATAATATTTTGGTCTTATACTCAAGAAAAACAATAAACTATACGAGTACTTATTTAAAATAGTAATTATAATAAAATTATCTAATAAAGGTCATAAAATAAAAAAGAATCTCATTTTATTGCGATCATTTAAAATACATATTCGGTGAAAAGTAACAACACATGTATCTTAAAACATAAAATATTTCTCGCAAAACATTGTGAAGCAAAATCATCAATAATTGCTTCATAATCAGCTTTTTACAATATCTCATGCTCAATACTTAAAATGGCTAACCCATTAAGCCTTTCTTGAGACATAGTCGATCACAAATAATTCATCAGAATTTTCAACTATGAAAAACATTACTACTTAAACACGTTTATTGGTCATTATTGGATTGTTTGAAACCTTGAAGGAAGAAGTTTTTTGGTCACCGGTCGCCGTTTGGCCTCCTCGATTGATTGGTTTCTTAACAAACCGCTGAGACACTCACCGCTTTGCAGCGTTCTTTAATCTTGTTGATTTTGGAATTTGGAAACAACAAATCAATTTTGGGATTGGAACTCTTACGTTTCAATCCCTAAATTACACTAGTATAATTTTCCTAGTAAGAACTTGGTTCAGTTACAGTGCAAAACCTCTCGTCCCCTCATCCCGAATATCACTATCACTAACCTTTTTGGAGAACCATCACTAACCTCTATTTAACTGGAATAGGTTTAAATGGACTTTGAGCTCAATATGGTTGACCTGATGAAGTTTTCCACTTATAGATGCATGACTTCATTTCAAACATTGCCCATGGACATTCCTACGGTAAAAGGAGCCATGCTCTATTAATCAACTTTAGGCATAATAATAAACTTTAGCAAGTCGTACTAGTAAACTATACTACCAAGTTACGGGGCGGGTCCGGGTCTTGCAATACCCGCCCCGCCCCGACCCATTGCCATGCCTATCTTGGACCTTGATAGGAAACAACCAAGCTACATTTCAAGGTCCAAAATCAAGGTACCATCTACCTTGATTTTTTTTAAATCTCAATGTTGACTCTTGAAAGCTTTGATTGTAGTGTTAACCTTTGGTGTTGGAGTTTTGGATTTTGAAGTTTAAAGTGGCTCAAATTTGCTCTTGAAAGAGAAAGATGGAAAAGTGTACACTTTTAAGCAAAGGTGGAAAGTGAGCTTCTTTAACTTTCCCACACCTAAACTCCTTGAGAAGTTTGAAGCCTATAAATATGAACCACTCCTCTCTTAGAATTAAAAGGTGAAGGAGAATAGGGGAGCTCTCGCGCACACAAGAATTCCGGCTTTCAAAAGACAATTTTGCCCCTCTTTTTTTTTTTTTTAAGTTTAACCCGGTTTTTTAATTTATGGGTAAGTCGCCAAACCGTTGGGCGACTTATAAGTCGCCATCCGGTTGGGCGACTTATAAGTCGCCAAACGGTTTGGCGACTTTCCCCGACCAGGGTTAAGCCCAGCAGTATATCCGTAAATACCCTATTTTCGTAAATACTTAATTAATTAGCATTAATACGGAAAAAAACTCAAAGTCTTCACATTTTAAATATTTTAAGTATTTATTTATACTTTTCATTTTTGAAAAAAAGTTCCTATTATCTCCAAAAAAAATCCTATTTTGTTGCGTATGTATATTTATACATTTTCTTTTTGTTATTAATTTCATATAAATTTGAATTTTTTACGGAGTATTATTTTTTATTGTTTTACTTTGTACATAGAATTTTTGGAGCATACATTTCAAAATATTTACATTAAGGAAAATTGTATTGTTGTACAATTTTCTGACATTCTAAGCTTTTTTAAATTTTTGTATTCTCTTTTTTCATTTGTATACTTTTTAAACAAATCTGATCTCTTTTTCAAATTAAATTTTAATCCCTTTTTTTGAGTTTTTAATTAAATTTACGAGTATAAGTTTTCAACTCTCAATTCTCGTCAAATTTTTCGAGTTATTTCCATCTTATTTACATTTTACTAATTTTTACATTATTTTCAATTCAAAAACAAGAATTGAGTATTTCCTAATCTATGTAGTGTAGAATTAGTTGGAAGTACGGAACTTACACATGCACTTCTTGGCGGTACTATTTCGAGGCTTCGAGGCTCCAGCAACGGGTTAGATATATTCCCTAATATGGAGTAGTCTATTTGTGAAAAGAAAAGCCGAGTGAGTCTAATTTTGAAAGAAATTTTGTAAGGTGATAAAAGGGATATTATTTTCATTTTTTAGTCTATTTGTGATAAATTCTCAATAAAATAAAACTGTTTAACCAAGAAAAATAAAATAAATATGGGACGGATGTAATAAGGAGTATTATTTATCTATATGACATCTTCACCATATTAAATGTTAAAATATTTCACTGCCAATTTGCCATTATCTCGTCCCACTGTTCCATGTAAAAATCATGGGCGGATTTGAAGGATAAATGAAAAACGCGGCGGCCCGCGGATACTGCCACGGCTTTACTTCTCTTCTTCAACGTGTCCTCACCTCATTCCTTTGCCATTAATATTACACGAAGCAGAACTGCTCTCTCTCCAGTTCACCGCTTACTTGTTTATCACCCATATCAAAATGGAAGGAAAAAAACTTCGACTCATTAAGCTTCCCCTCCTCCTCTCCCTATTCCTGTTGCTAATCTTGGCACCGCCATCTTCAGCCGCCGCCGCCGCCGGAAGGAAGGTAGGCGGAAGGAAGGAGGTGAAGGACGTGAAGAGCAATCAAGAGATTCAAGAATTGGGGAAATACTGCGTTCGAGAGTACAACAAGAACCTCCACGGCAAAGCCGAATTGCTCAGCTTCTCGGAGGTGGTGGAGGCGGAGACGCAGGTGGTGTCCGGGATAAAGTACTACCTCAAGATCTCCGCCGCCACCGCCGCCAATGGTGTCCGGGGGTACTTTGATGCGGTTGTATGGGTCAAGCCGTGGGCGGCGAAACCCAAGGAGGTTCTCAAATTTGCACCTTCGTCTCCCCAAGGAGTTTCGGGTTTGGCTCACAAATCCAACCCAAGTATAATTAATATTGATATGTTAGTATGAGGGAGCATTATGATGAGATCTTATCTTGTTGTAGAAGATTGATGGTTGGATCTTACTATAATGTTGTTAGCAATAAGAAAAACATCTCTGTGGACATATGAGCTGATCCATGAATCATTCTACTATGTAGAAGGGTTGTTTTTCTCCAATTTTCAATCATGGAATAATAAGGGGAGAAGTGCAATGACTATTAATTATGTTCTTAAATCTTGTTTTTTGTCTAACCTTTTTTGCTTTAAGGGAGTAGTATGCATGTTGTTTTTGAATTTACTAGATAATGTGGGAATCAAGGAGAGAATTAGAGAGTTTTATGAGAGAGCCATTGCCAATTTGCCTCCTGCTGAGGAGAAACGTTATTGGCAGAGATATATATACTTGTGGTATGAAAAGTTTTTATGGTGATCATGCGTTTTGAATTATCATTATATTTAATTTCATAGATGTCAATCGCTGGCTAAATTTTTATTTTTAGGATCAATTATGCTTTATATGAGGAGCTTGATGCACATGACATGGAACGCACTAGAGACGTCTATAGGTAAATTTGATTGACCATATTTATGGCTTTAGGCCATATTGTCAAAGTTGTTTTAGGTAGTACAATACACTGATAAAGGTTACATTATTTTTCAAATATGTGTTCCATGTTTGGAACACAGAAAGTGGCAGAGAAAGTTAAATTTGTTGATGGACATAGCGTTTTAAATCTTTGGTATCACCTTGGAAAATGCAAGGAAAATTAATTTGATTAAAAATCTTTATAAGTTTACCATATTGTTAGATATCTTTGTCTTGATACAACATAAATATATTAATAAAATGAAATAGAACAGATATCTTAAATCAATTTTGAGGTGTTTGGTTGTATTTTCATTCCAGAATCCAGACTGACTGTTCAGCTCTCTGGAAAGAACTTTTTCCTTGGGATATTTGATAAATTTTTTATATTTTACTATTGACAGGGAGTGTCTAAAATTGATCCCTCATAAAAAGTTTTGGGATAAGGGTCAGATAGGGCCTCGAACTCGAAAAAAATGTCAAATTTACCCATTAACTTCACAGTTATTTTCAAAAACTCATTTGACTACCTTCCCGATTGAATTTTTAGCTGAAATTTAGTATGGGTAAACTAGACTTAACGAGGAAGATGCTCAAAAAATTTCATCAAAAAATTCCATCGGGAACCGCCCCAAATGGCGTCGGCCAGACAGAGCATCCGAAATATGACCTTATTTGACATTTTTTTTCGAGTTCGAGGCCCTATCTGACCCTTATCCATTTGCCAAGATATGGCTTTTAGCAGCCCAGTTTGAAATAAGGCAGTTAAGGCTTAATGCTGCCCGATCAATCCTTGGAACAGCAGTTGGAAAGGCTCCAAAGGACAAGGTATTTACCCATTAGTAGTTTACTTGAGGGAAAAAGCAATGTTACTTAAGGCAGTTTGAAGCTGCTGACCTTTTGGATTTTATAATCTTTCATTTGGGGTTCTCAACATTCTACAATCTTTTGATTGTTTTCTGATGGGTGTTTTTGTAACATACAGATATTCAAAAAGTACATTGAAATAGAATTGCGATTAGGCAATATTGATCGTTGCCGAAAACTTTATGAGAAATACTTAGAGTGGTCCCCAGAGAACTGTTACGCTTGGACAAAATCTGCTGAGCTGGAAAAGTCTTTGGATGAAACGGAGCGGGCAAGATCTATTTTCGAGCTTGCAATTGACCAAGTTGCATTGGACATGCCAGAGTTACTATGGAAGGTATGGTCCTAAATCTTATCTAATCTTATCCACAGTTTTTGGTGTTGCTAAAAGTGGCCTTGAATATGCCTGGAATCTTTTCTTATTTGATTGTGTGCCTTTTGATGTTCTTATTTTTCTCAGTAAGAATTGGAGTTCATATTGCATATTTGATACTTCTATTTCTTAAAAATACTTGGCATAAAACCGGTTCAATTAGAATTTTTAAGAAGTCATAAAGGAATATGGAAGTATGGATGTTCGTTTTGATGTTACAAAACATACTTATAAACCGTTTTAATTCTTCAACCTATTCTAGGCGTACATTGACTTTGAGATATCAGAAGGAGAATTTGAAAGTACTAGAGCATTGTATGAGCGGCTTCTAAACCGCACAAAACATTTGAAAGTGTGGATTAGTTATGCTAAGTTTGAAGCTTCTGCTGTAGAAGGGGACTCCTCGGACCCTGAACAACAAGACGTTAGTCATGAACAAAAGGAAGAAGGCTTACACCGGGCTAGAGGTAAAACATTCTTATCTTCATAATAGAACATTCTTCCATCCATCCCAATAAAGAGTTTGTTTTAGATTTTTTTACACTTTTTTCCTCTAAAACAATGCTCAGTTAATAATGTTAATTTTGTTATGTTAATATGCCTAAGAAATGTGTCATAGGCAGGCTACATATTTACGCACTACTTCTGTCCCCGAAAAATAGTCATGTTTGTGTAAGATGACCTATGAATGGTCACGTGTATCTTCAAAACATATTTTTCAAGATTATTTAGAGTAATTCACTAAACCTGCTTGCTTCTTGGTTTTAAAGAATATAGTCAATAGACAGATGAAAACTGACTTTTAAAATTACTCTTTTTTGGTAGAATAAGAGGTATTTCAAGGACGGTCTTTCTTTTTTGGATGGGGAGGAAGTAGGATAAATGTAGTTATAACTAATAAATATGTGAGAGTTGTACCTTTCCGAAATGAAAGGATGTGCAATGGCTAAACATGACTTGTTTTTTGGGCAGTGGAGCACGATATAATTATGGTAAGCAATGCATTAATGCAACATTTTCTTTTACACATTAGGTGTGTTTGAAAGAGCCCTGGGCTACTACAGAACTTCAGCTCCTGAATTAAAAGAGGAGAGGGCAATGCTTTTAGAAGAATGGCTCAACTTGGAAAGCAGTTTCGGGGATGTTGGTGATGTTGGGTTAGTCCGGTCTAAGATGCCCAAGAAACTCAAAAAGAGGCGCCAAATTGAGACAGAGGATGGCCCGGCAGGGTATGACTATTCCCCGAAGAGACACAGACGACAAACCTCAAAATTTTGGAAGCTGCATACAAGTGGAAAAAACAAAAGGTCTGATGACGATTGATGATCGGTTGATGATGAGTTGGTTCTATAACTTGTTTCTGGTCTCGCTCTTTGGGCTAAGTCCGACCTGTGTGGGGTATAAATAGCTGTAGTCGGAGTTGCAGGTGACTGGTATGGTAATATAAGTTATGGAGTTTATGGATACTGTATGGATCCTGAAAAACTGCCAGTTAGTGATGTAAAGACATGTACTTGGTGGGAAATTTTCATTACTTCTTTCCTTGTTCTCTAGGGTTAATGGGTTATTTACTTGATTGCATTTGTTTATTCTAGAGAGTGACAAAGACAAATCTGTATGACAATGACAACTTCTGCTGGCTATTATAAATAGTATCACTTCAAAGAAATTAGCAGTCGGTTTCAGAAGTTTGTTCTTTGCATTAAGAAAAGGCTTTATAGTTGTGTTTTGACCGATTGTTGATCATGCTCTATGAATCCTTAATTGATGTTAATTTTTTATAAAACTGATAAAAACAAAAAACATATTGATGTAATTGTAAAAATTAATTTTAAAAATTAGATGTTTTGAGAATTCAAGAAATCTAAGAATGAAAAATTAGACACAAATGTATGTTAAATAATCTTTGCACTCTAACGCAACCAACTTCTCCACTATCCACACTGCAAGCTATTTGAGGATCCATAAACTTAAATTGAAATTTATAGACTAAGAAAAATAACGAATTGAATACTGCAAAAAAAAACACATTAAAGTTATTTTACAAGTTACAAGATTTGGAAGTTCAAAATTAGTCAAAACTAACGGAGTTTACATTTTTTATATTATTTCAATCACCAGAGTAGGCTTGGACTCGGGCTGGGCAGCCCGCACCGCAACCGACCTGGTCATTGTTTGAACCGGCCCGGCCCGGCCCAGGAACCAGTCAGGGGACCGGTTCGGGTCCAACCGGCCCGGTAGAGGAGCGGTCCGGGCTCGGGCCTGATAAATCACGAACCGGCCCAGCCCGGTCCGGCCTGGTCCGGGCCGAGTAACGGCTCTTTGTTAAAAAAAATGTTTAAATTTTTTGGTGGGCCAACTAGCCGTTGGGAGTCCCCCAAACGGCTCTATAGCCGTAGGAGGAGGTAGGGGGGGTCCGGGGGGTTTTGGGGGGTGGGGATAAAAAAAAACCTATTTATACTCCTATTTTCTATACATTTTTTACACATCTTCTCCAACTCTTCCTACTCTCTAATTCTCTATTCTGTCAATCTCTAAAATCGGGGTTTTGACCTCAATATTATTAAAAAGTAGATAAATGACAAAAAAGTGGCTTTATTGTTTAATTTTCAAAAATGTGACCGATATGTTTTAAACTTACTAAATTACCCTTGCAGTGACTTTATTTTACAGTTACAATACTGGCCACAGTGACACTCTCTACAGTGACTCCCGCTATAGTGACCACCGGCCACCGGTCTTTGACCACCGCCACCGCCACCGCCACCGCCACAGTGACACGTCCTCAGTGACACATCCACAGTGACGCTCTCGACAGTGACACCCGCTAAAGTGACCACCAGCCACCGACCACCGTTGCTACTGCCGCCGCCGCCACCACCACAGTGACACGTCCTCAGTGACACATCCACAGTGACACTTCCAAACTTCCGTATCATTAATCAATTTTTACCACTGGAAATCACCAACATCCACCACCGCTGCGTCCTCCACCGCCCCTGCCCAACCCTCTCTCCGAACTTCCAGCTCCATCCCTTACACAGTCAATGCCCCACCCCCTCACCGCATCCCCCAGCAGATCCAGACCCTGAACCACCACGGACCCACCCCACACCTCGTCACACACCTCTGTGCCACCGCCACGACGGCGGCTGCATAGCGACGAGACAGAATATGTCTCCAATCGCATCTGACTACCAGATGCGAACCCTAGCCCCAACGATGCCAATTGTTGCCGGAATAGATGATATGAATTCGTAATCGTGCCACGCCACTTCCCTGCGTAATAGATGATGTAATCCTCGCTCGCCATCGTCAGATTTACACCATCTCCATGCTGCCACCATCGACAGGTTGCCTCCATCACAAGTTTT